CTTGACAGACGAATGCTACGGTGGCAAGCGGACTATGTGAAGATATAACCTTGAAAACGAATGTAATTATGTAATCTTAATTCTGCATCCGCTTGACGTGGAAATTCTTCAAGCTGATGCTAGTTTTTCGATTCCCTTTTTACAAATAAGCAATGCGAACGCGTAAGCCTATTCCCATTAAATACACTATGCTGAAATGAACAGAAATAATGGCATTAAAATGCTTATCCTTTTGTTGTTGCTTAAGAGTAGTTGAATACTTCGTAATTTGTTGAAAAGAGGGCTTGGGAACCACTATTGTAAGCTTTTCAAGTTACTTTATAATTATAACGCATCGTCTGCCCTTTTATGAGATCAGCAGCAAATATTGGCATAGCGATGTTAACTCACATACGTTAATTCGAGAATAAGGGTCAAGAGCGCTCCTCGGAGGAATCTTTCTGTTTGCGATTGCTCACTTCGATTTAACCTTACGAATACAGACATGGTGAATTCTGTCTGTGAGGGATTCGGTTAGACATGCGAGTCGATTTTCGTCACACGCATTTCCCATATAGAGAGATCGCGCTTCAGGAGAACGACAAAATGTTATCAGGTGCGGATACAGGCAACAAATTAAGCTACAGATACGTACTGAGTCTTTAATAGCGTTACGCTGACGACACTGTGGGTTCTTAGCCAGGCTAACGATAGCACCCTTCAGGAAATGTCGAGGGCGTTTTCAGTGGTAAGTCCTCGAAGCTTTGTATTCAGTGAAGAACAAATTATACATTTATTGCGCTATAAAATATACATACCTGATGACAGGTAGACCGGCCAGAAATAAAATGACTACGCCGAGATATAAAAATACTTCAAGTCAATAAAAATACACGAAATGTCAACAATTACAGAGGGAAAGCGGCACTGCTGTGCAGCCAATGAGGTAACGGGGAAAAGAGGGGGAGGGGCGAGGCAAGTCACACAGCTAGGGGTTAGGAGAGCTCAGAAACAGCAACAGTGCTCCTAGTGGCCCCGGTGCCGGAAGCACTGTTTTTCACCACACTGCGAAGATCCTCCGGCAGGGCCTGCAGAAGGACGCTGATTTGTTTGCGCAGGGAATTTACAGTGACATCACGCGCAGCTGGCCTTAATTGGTAAAGAGACTCCTGAAAAAAGAAACAAGACAGTACTCATTACTCATATCGCAAACACCTACCTGCAAAAAAATAGATTTTGAGAAGAAAAGGAATAAGAAGAAGCACAAGAGAGTACTTTTGTAGCAATGAGGCCTTACAATCCGCTGATTTAGCTGGATGATCATATCCACAATTTCGATCTCAGAACGGTCCTCGAGCCACATCGAGAAATCCGCGCACGCAATTGCTGACAAGTGCAGGGACTCAAGTCTGGCGCGTATCTCCGACTCGCGCCGAGTTAGCCAGGCGACGAAATGTGGTCCGGAGAAGAAATTTCTGCAGGAAGATAAAAGTAGGCGTAGGATTGCGTAGCAGAAATCAGAAGGTGGAGAAAGGTTAACCGGACCAGATGACGGGTATTACGTGATAGGAGATGGGATGCGCTATGAAATCATCCCACCATCTATAAAGCTGATGCTTGCTTGGACGTTTAAATTGCTATTTACTAAAAACGGAAAAAGTTGGACAGTTTTTGTAAACAGTGTCTTTCCAGAAATACGTAAGGCTAAAATTCAGAAATGAAAATAAACGAAAATAGTGGAACGTCAATGGCACATTGAATGAGTGAAAAAACCCATATACCACTTTTCCTAAGTTCTCTTCAGCTTCATATATATTATAAACGGAGCCTGCGTTATCGTTCTCGAAGAATACGACCTTCTAAATACATGAAGAGCAATGCAATTGATGACCACGAAATACCTCGGATAGGAGAGTGGTAAATGCATGACTATACCAAGAAATAAAGCTTATGATGCAGGGTTAAGGAAGAAGTTTCCATAAGTGAAATAGTTTTTTTATTCTTAGAAACGCCTTTACGAATACAAAAGCATGGCTGTTGAGACGAATTTAAAAAAAAACAAGGTTGAGGCATAGAGCAAAGCAAATAAAGGTAAGAGGATTCCAGAAACGCAAGAAATTTAATCCCCCGTAGCTGTTTCCAGTCTCATGCTTCATCTTGTTAACAGTCCAAACCTGGGCCCAGTTGTAGACATTATTCGTGAAGCTATCCTCACAATATGCGTGACTCTTAGTTGGCTAATCCTCCTCACAACTTTTTCCCCGTCTACACGTCGTTCGTTTGTAGTGGCCCTAGCAGCCACTTGGAACCCAAGATCGGACGGATGGCGCC